GATTTAAAGCATGAAGAATAGCTTCTCCTCCGCTGGGCACCCCAACACCAAATTGCAGACCATCAAAATAAGAACGTAAAGAAGGACCAATCAGAAGGGCACCAACCTTAGAGACTAGGCGCCTCCAAATGGTACCCACAGAAATAGGTCGAATACCACCACCAGGTTTAACAAGCGGAGTGAGAGGGGCACTAGCAATATACTCACCGAGCACCTCTGGACAGTTCCCACCAAGAAAGAGGTTAACCACATGCGTGATAGAGCAAATCAACTCATCCGAAATGGCAGCAGCAGCCCCACTCAAACAATCAATAAAGTGTTGAGCACGAAGTCCATCACGTCCACAGGATGTACCACGAGGGAAACTCCGAATGCTATCGAGAACAACACGGGTGGAGGCTGAGAGGGCCTCACAATCCACATCTAAACGAGGCAAGGAGGGAGGAGGCGAAAAGGGGTGCTTAGCCAGCAACTCCTCAAGTGTGGCACCTGTATAAGGGGCAACGCCAGAGGAAGAGAGGACCCTAACCGCTGCGGTATAATGGCCATCACATATATTTCTCTTACACTGGCGCAGGCTACTCTCGACCAAATCCAAGTCATCATCACCTACACCAACCAAAGAGGGAGAAGGCTCGGCCAAAGTTTCCCTAACCAGAAACATCGGTCCCCCAGGTTCGCCCCATGACCGAATAGCAGCGGTAATGCTCTCTTCTTGCCTTTGACGTTTAGTACCAGACTTGCACTCAAGACAACTTCGGGGGCGAAAGGTCCTGAGGATACAAACTGGCAAAACAAGCAAACTAACCCAGCAAGAGAGATCATCTGGCTTACAAATGACCTTGTTGAGAGCGCCAATCAAAACACGAGAAAACCCCAAGCGGCACTTAGGAGGAATAGATTTCACAGTGCGAAGCCCCTTAGAAAATAAGCTATCAAGTAGGCCCACATCGAAACCACACGAGGGATCATGCGAAAGGCCCCGAGCAGAAACAAGCTCAGCGGAACAAGGGGGCTCTGGCTTGGGGATATCATAAAGAACAAATCGGACAATACCATCCCCACAATCAGGGGGCGCCACAAAGCCAGATCCCCCACTATGACTGCACTGCTTACGAAGAGCAGGAATTTTAAAACAAACTCCACAAAGCCAATGACCCATATGCTTAAGGGTGACCTCGGCTGCACTAAAAATATTGGAATTAGAAGTAAGGGCCTCTCTAGTGATAGCCCGCGCATCACCCGTGAAATGCTTCTCCCGAAGGTGAACAAGCAGGGAGGCTTTGGTGAGCCCCTTACCACCCTTGTCCGTGCAACCACCAAGACCAACGAAGGGACAATGAAAACAAAGGACGCTGGGCATGGCAAACAACCAAGCAAAACAGCGGAAAAGCACACAAGCAACAAAACACCAAACCAACACAGCCAGAATCAGCAGGGCAGCAAACGAGGAAGCCGAACCCAACAGGAAAAGCGACCTGCGATTACAACCCCTCGCCCCCTCTCCAAAATCACGACCTGCAACCCTCAACCCCTCTCTCTGAAATCGGGCCCTGAAACCACAACCCTCAACCCCAATCACTACCTGCAGAGCGGAGCCGACAGGTGACCGGAGCCCTGAAACCACAACCCTCAACCCTCAAACCTCAACCCCAATCACTACCTGGACTAGATGACCGGAGCCGACAGAGAGGCAGCCCGTCTCTAATTTCTCGCTCCCTTGCTGATCACCCAAAAAGTCCGCTGCTGGATCGATCGCCGTCACTGGATGTGGATTGTGATCGCCGTCACTGGATCGATTGTGGTCGCCGTCACTGGATCGATCGTCGCTGGACCGAGAATCGCCGTCGTCGTCTCTGGTTCTGGATCGCCGTCGCTGGATCGATCGTCGCTGGAGAATCGCCCGTCGCTGGATTTGTTATATGAGGTGTCTGTGGAGAATCGCCCGTCGCTGGAGATCGTCTGGAGAATCGCCCGTCGTCGCTGGAAAATCGCCCGTCGCTGGAGAATCGCCCGTCGCTGGAGAATCTCATAAAACAAAGGCAATACAATGTTTTCAAATACATTATAAGTACAATACCCTAATACAAGCCGAATGAAATCAGAGAAACATAAAAGTGTGTTCTAGAACAACAACCACTAAACAGCAACATATCCACCAAATGCAGTAAGAACAATATGGAAACCTCCAGCTACCAAAACCACAAACAACTAAAACACCCAATGAGAAGTATAAAGTATGCTCAAGCCACTAACTGAAAATCTTGTTTGTCTCCCCTTTACCTTCAAGAAGTTAGAACCATCTGAACCACATTGAATTACATCTACTAAATCCCTGCCATTTTGATAATGTAATTTTTTTAATTTTCACAACGTTTAAAACAATCAAAGATTCCGAGCCGAGCCTTCTACATCAACCATAAGATATATGTAAAAAGTTGGATTTTTGCTTCAAATACTTCTTTATGTTCCAGAGCACACACCTTCCACTACCAATCTTTAAACTTACATCAATCATTTGGAACACCCTCCCAATTAATCAGGGATAGCTTCTAAACTCTTCTAACTTTGTTGCATTAGATATGCTCAATAGACTCTTCGGCCTCTCTACAAGCTCTACAGATCAAGTCTATCTCAACTATTTTACTTCTGACATTGACATTCACATGCAAAATACCAGAAAGCACATCAGATGAAGTGTTTTTTCTTACCCTTCACTCTCATCCTCCAAGTTCTAAGTCTAGCACATATGTCCTTCTTAGTCGATTCACTTCCTTTTGCCCTATCCATCTTCACAACCTTGTACAGAGTGAGTTTGGCATATGTAGCAGCTACTGAGATTTTACCCTTTCTATCTATGCTCCAAACCCATTTGTCTTCTAAGTTCGGATTTGTCCTCAAAATAGCTTCAAAGTCAGCCTCTCTAAACAACTCCCTGATCAGAGTTGTATTCCAATTTCCCGCACCTCTGACAACTAATTCTTGGACCCAAACCAGATCACAATGAATACGTACTTTTGTATCTAGTTTTCCCCCTCTCAAATTTGGCACCCAGCTATGATCCATAATATCTTTTTTTTTTTTTTGTCCAATCCTGGCCTCTATATTCAGTCCTTGTTAAACATATCCAACTATTCCATAACTAAAAACTGCTTTGATTCCTTTTAGCATAAAACATGGTAGAGTTATAAAAATACCTCGACTTAAGCACCATGATCACCAACAGTTCTAGATTTGTTACAGTTCTTCACATCTGCTTCATATGACTGTCTCATTGTACATTTTACTGTCTTGAATGCCCACGTCTCCCTAATCTTTTGGTACAGCCGTACATCCATCCATTTCCAAGCTTTCCAGTGGATCCTTTTGCTTTGATCCTCACCTTTACTCCACTAGAAATTGGCACACAATTGTGTAATCTCCTTACACAAGGTAACAGGTAGCTTGAAACAAGACATCACAAAGACTGGTAAAGCATTAAGCATTGCTTTCATCAACATCTCTTTACCTGACAAAAAAATTATTCTTCCTGCAATTAATTCTCCTTCTCACAAAATCCAATGCATAATCAAAAGCTTCCCTTTTAGACTTCCCAATACGCAAAGGTAACCCCAAACATCTGAAAGATTTATGAATTTGTATGCCCACAAAAATTCTGCAAATACTTTTCTGATTCTGCACTGGAGTGCTTTTGTTGAAAAATAATGAAGATTTGTCCATATTTACCTTTTGCCCATTAAACAACAATTTTTTATCTAGTATTTGGATAAGCATGTGAGCTTGGTTAGTATCATCTTTATGAAACAGCAAGAAGTCATCAACAAATAATAAGTGAGTAAGTAAATGACCATCTATGGATAATTTTAGCACCTGAATACCTCCCAAACCAGAGTCAGACTTGATAGGAGAAGAAAACGTCGCTGACACAAGAATAAATAAGGAGATATGGGATCTCCCCGTCCCAAGCATCTTGATGGAGTTATATATCCACAAACTTTCTAATTTAAATTGAAAGATATTGAAGTTGAAGAGATGCAAGCCAAAATTCACTTTACAAATCTCATATGAAAATCCATTTTCAGCAAACTAGTTTAATTCTCCTCCATTCAATCATATCATAAGTTTCATCATGCAAGTTTCAAAGCCATAAGACAGTTATCCCATGATCTATGTCAGTTTAGATAATGAAACACCTCATGAGCCAAAACCACATTATCTAATAGTTGGCTTCTAGGAATGAAAGTAGATTATGATTCACTGGCACTACGATCCAAGCAACATTTGATTCTTTTAGCCAAAATTTTCGAGATCACTTTATATTCATTTCAAAATACCTATCATTTTAGAATTTTTGTTCAAAATTTCAATTTGACTATAACGTGATTCTGTAAAGTAATTATTTCAACAAAATTTTATCAGACGTTTAAACACTATGTGAATAATAAGTATGAATATAAAACTTTTAATAATTCATTCATTTAGGTGAATTTATTTTTCTATAAACTATTCAAATCAAATTTTAAGTAGTTCAGTAATTTATAAAAATATGAATAATCGACTCCTCCATTTATTACAAGTTAATGTTAATCTGTACGTTATGAGTAATTACTTATTTGGCTTAAAAACACACTTGTATACATCTTAATTGGCTTAAAAACACACTTGTATACATCTTAAAAAGTAATTACTTGTATTCGTTTAGTTGAATTTATTTTCCTATAAATTGTTCAAATCAAATTTTAAGTAGTTAAGTAATTTAAAAATTTGACTTGATTTGAACAAGAAAAAGTCCTCACAGTATCTATCTACCTTGCATTCTCAAGCAATGCTTGGGGCCTACAAATTTAATAAGACACCCGACGACCTTGACGATAAAAGTCCACTGATACGCCAAGAATCTCACTTTCCCATGATAGTGATTAAACAAATTCTCAGCAGCCAAGCACTCTATATCTCACACTTCATCCAACAGCAATAATTGTTTTAAAAAAAAAACCACCATGGAAACAAACTTGCTCTTCCTACTAACAGTCGGGCTCCTGCTCCTACACTCCCAAATCCGCAGCTCAGCCACGACCATAACGAACATAGAAACCGACAAAGCCGCTCTCGTCGCATTAAAATCCCAGCTGCTTCAACTGAACCATTCTCATATTCTCTTCAAAAACTGGTCCAACTCGGCCCCCGTCTGCAGCTGGGCGGGAGTCACTTGCAGCTCTCAACCCCAGCGAGTTGTGAGCCTCAACATCTCCAAGATGGGCCTAACGGGCCCTTTAGTCCCCCATTTGGGAAACCTCACCTTCCTTGAATCACTCAACTTGTTCGCAAACAAATTCCAAGGCCCCGTGCCTTCCGAGTTTGCTCAGCTAACCCAGTTGAAGGAAGTGGACATGGGCTCCAACTCGCTAGGGGGTCAAATCCCCCATTGGCTCGGCTCGTTCACCAGGCTTCAAGTGTTGTACCTCGACCACAACTCTTTCGAAGGCCTCATCCCGCCTTCTCTGGGCCACGCGTCAAATCTCGAGGACTTAGACGTATCCATGAATTCTCTGCAAGGTGAAATACCACAAGAGATTGGGAATCTTCGTAACTTGAAACACTTGGGCTTACGAGGAAACGAGTTAAATGGTTCCATACCATTTGCGTCCTTCAACTTTCCAGAAATGGAAAGTCTTGATCTGACGGATAACGTTTTATCGGGAAATCTTCCTGCTGACATGTGCGCTGGTCTTCCCAAACTTGAGGTGCTTTATCTAACGAATAATTCGTTGAACGGGCGTATACCGCCAAACGTGTCCGAGTGTTCACGACTTCGCTCCGTTTATCTATCCTTCAACAAGTTGAGCGGCTTCATACCGAGCGAGATGGGGAAGCTAACCATGCTTGAGGAACTATATCTTGGGACCAACGATTTGACAGGTACACTGTTGAGGATGTTTACGATAAACAACACGGGACTTACTTATATAAAGAAAAACATAACGAACAATTGCCTGCATGTTGTAGCATTTGTTGTACGAATGATGTTACTGGCAATAAATAGATTTGCGCACTTGCAGGGACAATTCCTGAAGAAATAGGTAACTTAACTGTTCTCAAGCAACTAGGCATGTCGGAGAACAAATTGACAGGCTCGTTGCCACAAGTCTTTAACATCTCTTCACTGCAAGTTTTGGATGTTACATGGAACAAACTATCAGGGATTCTCCCAGCCGATATGTGCTCTCATCTTAGACAACTTGAAGAGTTTTACTTGAATCACAATGAGGTATATGGCCTCATACCAACACAAATTCATGAGTGCTCCGCCCTTCGATCTCTCGAATTGTCTTTCAACAAACTGCACGGTACCATACCACCAAACCTAGGGAATTTAACTCTACTGGAGACGTTGACTTTTTCTGGGAATAACTTGACAGGTATGACTTGTCTGGATTCATTTTTATTCCTGGAAAGTAGTAAGATATAAATTCTAGGGAAAGGATCGGAGCATTGCCAATTAGTACCTAAGCTATGTAAGTGTGGCGGTAATAATTTAGTGACAGAAATATACGATGAACGCAAAATGAGTGTAATTCCCTTTGCAAGCAATTTAGCCATCTCCCCGGCCACCATGCTTTCAAGATGCATAAAACTCTTCAGCATACTTCCCTGGGTTGACAAAAAAGCATATAGAGATGGAAAAAATGCTTCCCTTATATAATGTTAGATTCCAAAGTTTCCTAAACTGCGACCAAGTTTCAATTAATTTTGTCATGTAGATACTCGTCCTAGTAAAAAAATGAAATAAATATATAGTTGGATTTAGAATGATCAAGGTAGCAGAAAATTGCTTCAAAACCATAAAGAATTGAATCAACTTTCCTATAGTAAGGGATACATTGAAGTAATAAAAATTGCTTCAAAGTTTCAAGGCCAACTACTTGGTTTTGAGTTTTATCTGTACATATTTTCTATAGTAAGGGATACATTGAAGTCATAAAAATTTTCGTATAAAATTTTATAAATTGACAGGCACAACGTGTTTGCATTGTTATATAACATTGAAGAGAATTATTAATTATATCTTGGGGAGTCTGTGAAAAATCACCCGATTAACTGTGTGCACTTGTATGTCTACCTGACAGGTGAAATCCCAAAAGAAGTTGGCCATCTCAACAATCTCAAAGGCCTTTACTTATCAGGGAATAGGCTTACTGGTCCAATTCCAGAAAGCCTACTAAATATCTCGACACTAGAAACACTCACTCTCTCGAAAAATCAACTAACTGGCAACGTCCCGTCAAATTTGGGTTACCAGCTTCCTAACCTCCAACTCCTCGAAATTTCTGAAAACCTTTTGACAAGTGAATCTTGGGAATTGAGCTTCATAACCTCACTGACAAATTGTAGAGGTCTATGGAAACTGGTAGTGAATGGCAATCCTCTCAACGGCATGCTCCCGGCTTCCGTGGGAAACTTCTCAACTTCCCTCCAATATTTTGGTATCAATACGTGTAACCTCAGGGGCGGAATCCCGGATACAATCGGCAACCTGAGCAGCTTAACGGTGCTCGATCCTTCTGTGAATCAATTTGAAGGATTAATTCCAGAAAGTTTGGAGAATTTGCAAAGCCTTCAGGGACTTGACCTGTCTAGTAACAAAATGAGTGGTCCCATCCCAAACGCCATATGCAGGTTAGGCCGTTTGAATCAACTGTATTTATACAACAATCAATTTTCCGGGCCGATTCCAGATTGCATTGAGAACATTACTGCTCTGGGAGAACTTCGTTTGGATTCCAACAAACTGGACTCCAGCGTGCCATCGAGTTTGTGGAATCTCAGGGACCTTCTCAAGCTGAACCTGTCCTCAAACTCCTTTGTCGGCCCCTTGATGCCGCAGATGGCAAATTTAAAAGCCGTCACGCAAATCGACCTGTCTTTGAATCGATTCTCGGGCGTAATTCCATCAGGAATCGAAAAACTGCTAACTTTGAGCTTTCTAAACCTTTCGTATAACGATTTACAAGGTAATATCTCGGAATCAATGAGCGGCATGGTAAGTCTGGTGGTTCTCGATCTATCCCATAACAACCTCTCGGGCATAATCCCAAAGTCCTTGGATAAACTCCAGCAGCTAAAGTCCTTTAATGTCTCTTCCAATGGTTTGGACGGTGAGATTCCATCTGACGGCCCTTTTAAGAACTTCACATTCGAATCCTTCATGTTCAACAAAGGGTTGTGTGGTGTTCCAAGATACCACGTCCAACCGTGCCAAACTCGTAAAGTCGGCGGGAAAAATAGAAGACTCCTAATCTTGCTGGTCTCTTTGGGGACCTCATCGGTAGTTCTTCTGGTTGTGATATTGACATGTATTTGGTTAGCAAGGTACCGGAAGAAAGATGAGATCCGGCTTCTGGCGGGTACACAATTCTGGTCTAAAGGGACACGGTCGAGAATTTCTTACAACGAGCTCCTTGAGGCCACTAACGGATACAGTGAGAGCAATTTTCTTGGCAGTGGTGGTTTCGGCGCAGTCTACAAAGGTACTCTCGAGAATGGGAAGGTTGTGGCCGTAAAGGTCTTCAACTTGGAGCTTGAAGGTGCTTTCAAGAGTTTTGAAGTCGAGTGCGAGGTTTTGAGAAACCTTCGTCATAGAAATCTCTGTAAGGTCATTGATTGTTGCTCGAGTCAAGACTTCAAGGCCTTGATGCTTGAGTACAAGCCTCGTGGAAGCCTGGACAAGTGGCTGTATTCGCACAACAACTTATTGACCATTAACCAAAGAATTGAAATCATGATAGATGTTGCGTGCGCTCTCGAGTATCTCCATCACGGCTACTCGGTGCCAGTGATTCACTGCGACCTGAAGCCGAGCAATATACTGCTCGACAAGAACATGACGGCCTGCTTGTGCGATTTCGGTATCGCCAAGCTTTTGGGTGAAGGGGAAAGCGTCGTGCAGACCATGACACTAGCAACGCTGAGTTATATCGCGCCAGGTAAGTTTCTTTCTCGTGAGTAAATTTTCCACCAAAAAAGAGAAGAGAGAGGAGATTTAACTTAATCTTTTTCTTGTATATTGTTGTAGAGTATGGGACAGGAGGGTTTGTGTCAGTGAGATGTGATGTTTATAGTTATGGTATAGTTCTGATGGAAGTGTTCACAAGAAAGAGACCTAATGATGAGATGTTCACTGAAAATTTGAACTTGAGGACTTTCGTGAAGGAATACATGCCGAATGGGGTCCTTGATATTATTGATCCAAACTTATTGAGCCCAGGTGACGATGGCACGACCAAGAAGGTAGAATGTTTGTCCTCGATATTGGAGTTGGGATTAAACTGCTCTTTGGAATCTCCTCAGGAGAGGATGAGCATCAAAGATGTTGTTGTGGCATTGAAGAGGATAAAGCTTCAGCTCCTTGGTGACTGATTATGGAGAAACGGAGGAATACTTTTACAGTAAACAACCTAAATGACATTTGTTTTTGTGACTGAGCCGAATTAGCTGATGCAAATAATTCACTTTGCAAACTTCTACTTCAGGTTGTTAGTGATTCAAAAATGAACGGGCTGTGTGCTAAGGTTATCAGTTGCAAGAAAAATAGCTTAGGTTGGAAAAGGTGAATAAGGCCAAAGTTTTGGTTGTGCAGGTTTTTCTTTGTGCCCCTAAGTCGAAATTATGAATGTCGTATGTTGTTAAGTTCCAAAAGTAATAAGCTTGGTTTATGTATTTTTTTATGAGTAATGATGTTTATTGCCATTGACATTATTGCAATTTAGTTCTCAACATATATGTCACTTATTATCGATTTTCATATGTCTACAAACTGTATTGGCTACATGTTATACTGAATCCAATATATTTTTCTCCGACAAACTTTGCAGATTAGCATCATTTCTTTTCAGCTATAGTGATTTTATAAACCTGTCACAGGAAACTAAGCCTCATAAGAAACTTATTTCCTTCTAGTAAGTATGACTACTTTAGTTGAGCCCAACACAACGATACTTATATTGCAACTAATATTTTTCGTGCATGAAACAGAATGGAAAATTTACAGAACATAAACATGTCTCTGGATATGAACAGTGCCCATAAAATTATTTCAAAAATAGTAACAAAAATTTAAAAAGAAATATAAACTAAACTAAACTAAACTCCAAGGTATTAGGATCTTACTCAATGGTTTGATATGCCAAATCACAATCCATCACACTTCAAAGCTCAAAACTCCCCAACTTTGTCACCTTTTAGTACTCAAATTAGCAAATTTCTCATTTGCATAAGTTGGTTCCATTTCCTGGGACGACATTTCTGGATCTCACGTCCTACAGTCATAAGCAACAATAAAAAGTAAGCTCAAGTAACAAAAATCAGAAGACACTGCAAGAAACACTTTATAAGTTCCTTTAAAATGATTGCTGATAACTGCAATTCAGAACTACGAAAAGAAAAAATTGTTACACAGTTGGCCTTTGATATGATCCATTTATCGAGAATGATGTATTTTATAATTTCTTTTTTCAAAATTCTTCACTGAAAATTTAAGTCTGTGTACAAAGCACCTGTAGAGATTAGATCTGTGTTGATTAATCATGAACTATGTTTCTCAATGAGAGAGGCATTAACATAATTTTCATCTAGCACAAACCGAAGTCCATAAGAATCTACTGTTGCTTTCAATCCAATGAGGCCACTGAGTTTTGTTTTAATTACCTACAGCATAATCATTTTTTAACACCATTATTCTCTTTAGAACAGATGAATGTTACTGTTAATGTGGAAAATTTACTGAAATTCACTTGTGTAGATCAGCAATTATCAGATTGCAGCAGACTTCAAGAATCTCAGATATTAAAAGCACCTATTAAACATCAGTTGAATGTTAATCACGTTACCAAGGAGTTCTGGTATAGAATTACATTGTTTTCAATTTTGATCCAATTAGAACGAGCTTTCTTCATCACCTTTTTGTCTGTCCTTGCCTTCCCGGTGCCATCCATGTCTTCCCATTTCCGATGTAACACATATATATTGGGCATGATCATGTATACAAACTCAATATCACCTTCAAGTTCGATCGAATTGTGGACCATCACCTAAGAGAACTGTATATCCTCACACGCGGAGACACACCAAGTAAGGACTTCCAAACCAGCCCACAACAACCATAACCAAGATCGATAATCATCTTTCCAGACTAGCTTAAATTCCCTTCTTTCCCCATCATTTTCTTCATCAGTGAACATTGCTTGGTCCAGGGATTGATCTTGCAATCCAAGATCATTATCTCATGGCTTCAGGTCATTTATCTTCTGACAAGTTGAGTAGTGCCATACTGAGAGAGAAGGCAGCTGATTACACCTCAATATTGAAGTTGGGTTTAAACTATTTCCCATGCAATACATATATGCTGAAGATAAACACTTATTCAAATTCATTATCACCTTCACGATCGATCAACTTCCGGACTGCCATCTCAGCCGCTTGTATATCCTTCAGGTGGCAGACACACCATGAAAGGACTTCCAAACCTCCCCACAGTAACACGGCTGATAATCATGTTTTCGGCTTTGATTGAATCACCTTCTCGTGTTATCATCTTTATCATCACTGAACAATGCTTGGGGCAATGAATCAATAAATTAATCCAAGATCATCATCTCAAAATACTGACTCACTGACAGAACATTTAGACAGGTAATTGCGTCTGGCAGCAAATATCCCATTGCTCTTGTCCGCTCAAAAAGCTCAATTACCTTCTTGGGATAAACATGTGCACCCATATAATACTATGTTTCATGTAACCAGATTCTTTTTGTGCAGTGATTGGAACATTCCCTGTGCCTGCTTCACTTTCCTGCATTTATAATACATTTCAATACGAGCACTCCCCACGAAAAAGTACCCTTCCAGACTTTCTTAAGTGCACAAGAATGTATCAGGCTCCCCCAAACCACATATGCCAAACCCGCAACACTGGAAAAAATACTTGAAAATGTAAATGCGTCCATGTAAACCCCACCTGAGTGCATTCTGCAGGCACTCAACAACCCCTCGGGATGTGCCTCTGTTTACAAACCCTGTTATTATAGCAGGAAGTGGGATCGGTATTTACGGAATTCCAGGACGAGTTGTCCCTCTAAAACCATACTTCAAACCTTCACAGCCTCTTCAATGTGACCGCACTTTCCATACATGTCGCTTAAGCAATTGGAGATGAAAACACTGCCCGCCACTCCACATCATATTTGAAGATCTTGGAATGCATGCATCTCCCAACACGCGCCATTTTCAGGTGTCCAGAAGCAGCAGTTAGTGAATACGAATCTGCCCAGACTTTGGATTTTCCAGCTGAAAGTGCCTTCCAAAACTGCGCAGAGTGAAAAGATTCAAAGAAACTGCGCTTGGTTCAGGAATTTCGACAAGCAGCTGTCGTGCTTCATACAACCATTCAGACTTCAAGCAGAAAATAACCAAAGCCGAAGAGACGAAGGCGTTAGAGAGGAAACTGGACTTCAGAATGTAGGCATGAAGCTGTTAGCCATGAGGTTTAAGGCCGGCGTTCGACCAAGCACGAGCTAAATTGACTAGAGTGTAGGGATTAGGCTTGGAGCCACCAGAGAAAAGAGGGTGAATGCGGTTTTCTGAAGAAGCTCTCCGCCTTGTTCTAATTCTACGATCTCATCTTCTCCGGCCACCTGGCTGGCTGCTGTGGTGGACGAGCGACGGTGCCAATATGAATTTGGACTTTTTTTCCAGCCAGTTTGGAATTAGAAGCTAATACAGTGCAACTGACATTAGCAGAATGGAGAGAATTTCTGTCATGTTCTGCTTAGCTTAGTTTGAATGTAGCTGGGGTTTGTTTTTCTGTTATGTTTTCTTGGTTGTAGTTAGTTGCTGCTTTGTTGTTGGTTGGGGAGGATTTTGATAATTGGCTAGGTCATGTTGGGGGTTCAGTGGCTAATTATTTTTGGAAAGCTTTCTAGATCCTTTTGCGTAGGAAGTTTAGTTAGTGGGAGATAGAGTTGGACTCTCGGGCTCTAAACATTTGCCTTTGCAGAGAGATCTTCTCTACCTCTTTGGATTGGTTTTATTTATATGGAGCAGTTGCTCTTTGGATTTGTATGGGCTTCGGCCACTTTCGTTCATTTGATATATAAATTATATCGTTTCGAAAAAAAAAAATAGACACCAAGACTTTATCCTCTTAAAATTCTAAAGGAAGTACAACTCCATCAAGCAGGCAACAGCAAACCCAAAACGGAACTCCACAAATGAAAGGAAACACCATAAAGGAGATAAATGTCTTGTTTCGTAATCAGCGGCCAGCTGATTGCATTAGTTGTTTACCAGCAGAATAAATTAGTTGTTTTGACCAGATGATTATGTTAGCCCGTTGTAAAAAAAAAGTTTGGTAAATTTACATGTTTTTCATTGATTGTTAACATGCAAAATTACTAATAAGGACATCATCATAATTCATCAATCTTATTTATGTTGAACTTACAATTATTTAAGAAATAAAAATAATTAATATTTTAATATTTATTAAACTGAATTAAAATATAGAAAAATATAAATAATAATATAATGAAAATATTTTTAATTAACTAAATAAGATCCCATCAAAGCAGTTCTTCAAGCCCTCCCAATCTTTTCTATGTCATGCTTCATGCTTCCCAAAACCCTATGTGCTACAATTTTAAAATTGTGCTCTAAATTTTGGTGGAATTCTGGGGAAGAGCTCTCTCAAGGGATTCATTGGAAAGCCTGGCATCTGCTCTCAATTCCTAAGGAAGAGGGAGGTTTAGGCTTTCTTGACTTGCAGCTTCTCAATGTTGCTCTTCTATGCAAACAATTATGGAGAATCACCACACAACCTAACCTCTTGGTCAGTAAGCTGCTGAAGGACAGATATTACCCTCATAGTTCAATCTTTGAGGCTGTTACGACCCAGAACTGTTCCTGGTTATGGTCCAATTGGCTTGATGCCATCCCAACCTTTGCAAAAGGCTTTGATGTGATGATTAGATCTGGAGATTCAACAAGAATCCCTGATGTGAACTGGGTGCCTCAGCTCAGTCACCTCAAGCCTTCTTTGCTGGAGTTTGCTGAGGGCCACTTAATTTGGGTGAAGGAATTGATCAAAGATAATGGTCTGGAGTGGAATGATTGGTTAATCAATCAAGTCTTCAATGAGGAAGACAGCAAAGCCATCCTCAACATCAAAACTCTCAAGCCTAACTCTGCAGATAAACAGTTTTGGAAATTCCACACCAAAGGTACATTCACGGTTTCTAGCACTTACTCATTCTTAATCCAACAAAACCTTCTGTCTCTGGACTTGCCTAGCTGTAGCAATTTGAGTGCTAGAACATTGATCACAACCAACAACAGACTGTGGAAATTGAAAGTGATGGGGAAGG